CGTCCAAATACAAGGACACTTCACTGGCCTCGAATTTCACTTTCGCAAGTGAACCTGAACCGGAGCAGGCACTGATTTGCTCAGTTATCTGAGTCTAACGGTGATTCCATCAGTCCAGCCCATCGACAACCGTGATGCTTGCAGCGGGTGGGCATGGGCTTCCGTCCCCCGCGGGCACGTCTGACTGTGTCCTCTCGCAGGTACACCCTGATCCCCACCTCCGTGCTGCTGGGGCTCGGGGCAGCCCCGCTGTGGGCCGCTCAGTGCACGTACCTCACGACCATGGGGAACGCGCACGCGGAGAAGGCCGGGAAGCTCGGCAGAGACGTGGTGAGCCAGTACTTCGGCATCTTCTTTCTCATATTCCAGTCATCCGGCGTGTGGGGCAACTTGATCTCATCTCTGGTATTTGGCCAGACTCCTACTCAAGGTAAAGGGAAAAGGCCGAGCAATGGTTTCGAAGTGGGCAGGGGGTTCAGTGCTGGCCGTGGAGGGGTCACGGATCCAGTTCACACTTGGGCCGGTGAATGAGGCCCCCCGACGTGGTCCTCAACCTGCCTGTGCTCAGAGTCATCTGGGCCCTGCTCTGCCCTGGACAGTGGGGTGGGTGCGAAGATCTGCCTCTTCTGCAGGTGCCCCCATAGGGGCAGGAGAAGCGTTGGGAAGGGTGCCATAGGGAAACTGAGGCTCACTGCTGGTGGAATTTGTGTTCATGGAGTCATAACTGTCCTTTCTAGACTCTCTGAGAATGGGTTTGCCTGATTTATTTTCCTACTGGATTGATCCCCTGGCCAGTTTTTTAAGTGTAACAGGTTAGACCCCTTGTCCCTGAACTGACACGTGCATTTGACGGGCTGATGCTGTGACTCATCTGTCTTTACCTGACCCTGCCCAGACATGGACTAACGCCTGAGCCTGCCTCATGCCTGGCCCTCCGATGCCCCCCATGAGGATTTAAACCATGGACAGGGAAATCGATCTCTGTCATTCTCACAGGACCCCTGTCCCAGGGGGGTAAAGAGCGCCACGCCTCCTGACTAGCGCCAGGGTGATCTCTCTCGTCCCGGTCCTCCATCTCACGATCCCATATAAAACCCCACCTTTGGGAAACTCTAGCCAAAATCCTTCCTCCCCTCTTCTGGCGCGATGACATCACTTGTTACGGGCGTCTGGAGAAGGGAACTAGAGGGTTACTAAGCATCGATCTTCACTCGCGATTGCTGCCACTGTCCCTATTGCTGTCGCTGTCTGTGACAGTGCAGCAGAAAGCAGGTGACAGCTCCGTCTCTGTCCCCAAGATGCGTGGGCTCAGAGCCCCCGGTGGGCACAGGGCCGGGGCATCCTGAGGGCGCTGCGGGGCGTCGTGTGGCCTCCCGTCCTACTCACCGCACCCCCCGCCGGCCTGGAGGGTGTGTGGGTTCCACGTGATGGAATTTGTGCTGCGAAACAGCAGGACGCCGAATGTTCTTCCTCCCACAAGACGTCCCCGCGCTCTCCGGAGATCCTGATGTGAGCTCTGGCCGAGAGTCGCTGGCAGTTCAGATTTCTTTCTTTTATCAGATCGGGAAGTCAACTTTAGTTTTTTAAAAAAGAAAAGTTATGAAATCACCTGCCTGAGGTCGTGGAACTGGCCATGGATGAACCTGAAAGTGTTCCAGACACCTGACTGAATGTGCTTTCTTTCTTTTTGACTAATTTTGAAAAGTTGAAAAATTTTAGTCATATCAGCAAAGTATTATAACAAGTAGCGAGCGTTTGCCCCACGTTTATTCTTCTCTGGATCTTTGCGGAACACTAACGCGACTCTACCTCCAGCCAAAGTGTCCTGGGGACGTGGGCAGGGTGAACGCACTCCACGGCCCTGGCTTAAGCACCCGGGTCCTTCCACACTGACTGATGTGGGGTCTTCTCTCAGAGTGTCCCTGTCACTTCTGTTCCTCAGGTGCCTGTGTCCCATCTAATTACCTGTGTTGCTTCCGACTCCACAGAGGCCATCCCAGAGGAGCGGCTCACGTCCTGCGGGGCCAGTGACTGCCTGATGGCCACCGCACCCACCAACAGCACCCAGCGCCCCTCGCAGGGGCTGGTCTACACCCTGCTTGGTATTTACACTGGTAGGTACTCCTCCACTCCAGGGCAGGGTCCTGGGCACAGCGTCACCAGCCGTCCCTCCTGGGAAAGAGACCACCTCCCCAGTGCACAAGTCACCTTCCTATGAAACCAAATACGGGAGATCAGTGCCATTGAACAGTGTCTGGGGGTGACGGAATCATTTACCTCAGCAGAGTCCAATACGGCAGCCATTAGCCACCTGTGATTATTTACGTTTTAACCGATTAAATGAAAAATTGTGCTCCTAACTCCCACCAGCCACGCTCCAAGTGCTCAGAGGCCACACAGGGCTAATGGCGCCAGTGGTGATGTCCAGCCCCGTGGCGGACCAAGGCCCGGGGGCTGACCGCTGCTGTGTCCTCTGGGTCCAGAAAATCCCTGGCCCTGAAAATCCCATTCTCTGGACATCCTTGTATTTTTCTGAGGACTGTGTTTGAATGACTCCTGCTGAAAGGCTGGAGGAGGCCTGTGACTCGCAGTTACTGGCCACACGTGGCCAAAAGCTACACACACTGCAGGTTTGTGAGAACACGGTCACCCAAAGGAAGTTACCCATCACGATGACTCTTCTCATTATCACGATAATGGAAAAATTTGTAAATAGTTGCATTAGTCCAATTCTGTTGCATAGAAAAAAATACCTGACGCTGGGTGATTTACAAAGAAAACAAATTTATTGCTTACAGTTTCTGAGGTTGGGAAGTCCAAAGTCCACCTGGTGGTGACAGGGACCCAGGGGTCTCACACTGCAAGATGGTGGATCAGAGAGAGAGAGAGTTCCTCACGCTCTCTCCTTCTAAAGCCCTCAGAGCCACGCCCCGACCACCATTATTAACCCATTCACTACTGCAGGGTCCTACAAACCAGTCACCTCTTCAAGGCCCCACCTTTCAATGACCGTAATAGGATTTCCCACCTTCTTGACAGTCAGAGCTGGGGCCAAGTTTCTAACACATAAAATGTGGGGGACACAATTCAAGCACCAGTGAGTTTGGTGGGACATAATTCAATCCACTACAATAGTTTTATGGATGACTTTACTCTTATATTCATAGATTTACTACTACTCTGAAGGGGATACATTTAGAGTTTTAGGGTTTTTTTTAACCATTTTGAAGGGAATTTATTTATTTTTTTTAATTTATTTTATTTTATTTTATTTTGTCGATATACAATGTGGTTGATTACTATGGCCCATCCTGAAACCTCCCTCACTCCTCCCTCTCCTCCCTACCACCCAACAATGTCCTTTCTGTTTGCTTGTCCTGTCAACTTCAAGGAGTTGTAGTCATTAAGTCTTCTTCCCCCCCCCCNACGGCCTTGGATGTGTCCTTCTTAAAGACCAAAGGTTGGATACATGTCTGATTTGGTGGAACTGAGTCCAGCACTCCTGGGCATCAAAGGTTAGAAAGTCAGGACATGCTCCAGTGCTTTGTCTTCCCAGCAAGCTGCCACCAGAGTCACTTCCAAACCAGAGGCATTGAGTGTGCACGTGTAGAACAGCCCCTTTAGGGGGAACAATACCCCAGGCCTACTGTGGTCCAGGAGCCAAGACAGGAACATCACCTTCAGTGAGCATAGAGTCTCGTGAAGGACGCAGATGTGCATTCAGCAACCCAAGTCTGATGTGACAGGTGTTTTGAGGGAAGTTCCCAGGTGACGTGTGGTTACATCTTCCTGGAGAAATTGGTTCCAGGAAAGCTGCCAGAGGAGGTGGTCCCCGGTGGGGTCTTGAAGGACAGGCAGGATTTTACCAGCTGAGAAGGGGAGGCAAGAGGGTGCCACAGGCTGAGGACGTGAAAGAGCAAAGGTGCAGAGAAGCCCGATGGGTACGAGGAGCTGGCGTGGTGGGGGTCTGGTGGGGGAGGGGCAGAGGCACCAGAGGTGGGGGTCACACGGCTGGTTGTGGCCCATCTTGAAAGGCCTTCCTGTTGAGCCAAAGGGTCTGGACAAGCACATATTTGTATCCTAAACAGATTCTCGGGTTGGCGTAATTTGGGGGTATGGAAAACTGGGCAGAGAAGCTGGGTGAGGGTCGTGTGCAGCTCTCCAGGAAGTGGTGAGCAGACCAGGACAGCTGCAGAGGAGGAGGGGCACTTAGGAGAGTTTAGAGCAGGACCAGTGGGACTCTTCGATGCAGTGGACATGGATGTGGGGGTGGGGAGGGGGCAAAGACAACCCTGAGTTTATGGAGGATTGGTGCAGTCTGGGAGGCGTCTGGCCCAATGGACTGCAGGACTGTCGTGGGGCACCCTATGGGCAGATGGGACCTCGTCAGGGTCTGGTGCAGGGTTCAGGCCAGAGGCTGATGCAGAGGTGGAAGTGGGAGGCATCTCTGGAGGTGATGGTTGAAATCACTGGAGCGGGCAAGATTCCTCTGGAGACAAAGCAGAAAGGAGTGGTAAGGGGACGTGGGTACAGTCTGGACCCCTGGGGGCACCAACCCTGAAGGGCAGTGAGGCCAGGAGCCTTAAAGGAGATGGAAAACAAAGCTGGGAGTCTTGGGGGAAACCCAAGGCTGCAGAAGCAGCTGGGAGGGCGTTGGAGAGGGTGGAGAGTGACAAACGCCCCCAGAGGCTCAGAGAGGAGCTGGGTTGCAGTTCTGGGAGGACTGGCGCGTGCGGCCCGGACTGCCGGGTGTGAGAAGCAGGGGGACAGTGGGGACAGGTCAGTGAGAAGCGGGCCGTGGGCTGCTCTCCTGGCTCCCGATTTTCTGCTGACTTGGAATTGTGTGCGGGTGTCCCCAGCGGGTCCCAGCGTTTCCATCCACAGAGCCAGGCCTGTGCTCTTTCACATCGCCCCTCAGTGGCTCCCCTCACAGTGGGAGACCAGGGGCCTCCAGAAACTCCAGGACCGGGTCAGGACGCTCGGGGACTGACCCAGCTCTGCGGTTTCTAGTCACTCAGCCCCAAAGAATTCTCTCGTCTATAAAATGACAGCGCTCCTTCCAGAGCAGGGGTTGGTAAACTTTTTCTGTAAAGGGCCAGAGAGTAAGTATTTTAGTATATAAAGTACTTTTTGATGCTGAAATGGCCTCTGTCGTCCACTGCGGGGCAAAGCCACAGATGACGTGTGAATGAATGTGCGTGGCTGTGTTCCTATAAAACTGTCTACAGAAGCAGGCACAGGCAGGATTCAATCCCCGACATAGGTTTGTTGATCCCTGTCCCGGAGGAGCAGCACAGTCCCCAGAAACGTGCATTCCTGCATCGTCGTGGCTTCTAGGCCCTTGACTGCCCATCCGTGCATCCCGCACGTGTGGCCTCTTGCTGTACCTTCTCCAGCAAAGGCTCGCCTTCCACTCCCTTCCGCTGTGTCCCTGTTTACACATCACAGATAGTTCCTGGTTCCTGGAGGATCCCGTAGCCTCAGGTAGCTCACATCCAGGAGCTTATGTAGAGCAGAAATGACGCATGGGTGATGTGGAGAAGCTGTCTTGTTATTCTGATCACAGCTTTATTG